TTTTCCTAATATCCAACCTGGACCTCCCACACTGCAACTTGAGACCATTGCTCCTTGTTCTGTCATCTGCCACCACTGAGAACAGCCAAGCTCCATCCTCTTTGGAACCCCCCTTCAGGTAGTTGAAAGCAGCTATCAAATCCCTCCTCACTCTTCTCTTCTGGAGACTAAACAATCCCAGTTCCCTCAGCCTCTCCTCATAATTCATGTGCTCCAGACCCCTAATCATTTTTGTTGCCCTGCGCTGGACCCTTTCCAATTTTTCTACATCCTTCTTGTAGTGTGGGGCCCAAAACTGGACACAATACTTCAAATGAGGCCTCATCAATGTCAACTAAAGGGGAACAATCACGTCCCTCGATCTGCTGGCAATGCCCCTACTTATACAGCCCAAAATGCCGTTAGCCTTCTTGGCAACAAGAGCACACTGTTGACTCATATTCAGCTTCTCGTCCACTGTGGTCCTTTTCTGCAGAACTGCTACCTAGCCATACTGTCCCTAGTCTGTAGCAGTGCATAGGATTCTTCCGTCCTAACTGCAGGACTCTGCACTTGTCCTTGTTGAACCTCATCAGGTTTTTTTTGGCCCAATCCTCTAATTTGTCTAGGTCCCTCTGTATCCAATCCCTACCCTCCAGTATATCTACCACGTGTGTCATTTGCAAACTTGCTGAGAGTGCAGTCCACACCATCCTCCAGGTCATTAATAAACAACTGCTGTTTCCTTTTCAATCAGCCTGCTTCAGAAACCTGCCCCCCTCTTCCAAAATGCAGAATTACTTCCAAAACTGCCCCTGCCTGAAGCCCGATTCAGTCCCGCACCAGTAACAGCTGTGCTAGACCCAGTGATGTCTTAGCCTTAGCGTGCAGGGCTGGGAAGGGGAGCTCCATGCGGGGGACATGTTTAGTGAGCTCACTGACTCTCTGCCGCACACTGCTGTTCTTCCATTTCAAAGCCCGTTGGCCCAGACGCTCGGACACAGGCAACATGACACGAAAAGGGGATTTGAACCCGGGGTGCGGCTTTGGAGGTTCAGCCTTCAGTTCATTCCCCCCCCCTTGCTCTCTGTGCTCAGTGACTGACCGAGAACCCTGGACTCTCCTTACCAGCGACGTTTCACAGAGCAGTTTGCTTCCCCGCACCAGGTTGCCAATGGTTATGTGAAAGTACGTGTTGCCGCTGCTCCAGTTGGAGATCTTGGTGAAGGGATGAGTT